ATTCGAGTTGCCAGAGTTTTTCCGCTGATTCCGCCCCATTCTGAGTTTACCTTGTTTGGAGGCCTTATCAGAACTGTTCAGTTGGTGGCCTCTTCTATTTGCCCAGCGAGAGAGAGGCAGAGCGTGTCTGTTTTCTACTCCCAGTTCTCGGGTGCTGGGTCAACTGGGGTGCAGTGGAATGGCAGCAGCTGCACGGGAGTGTGCGTGGCCAGATTAGACCTCATTCAGCCTACTGGGGAAACCAGTGGGCAGGAGACTGGCAGTAGCCGGATCAGTCCTAGTTCAGCACCCTGGAGCAGTTGGTGGGTGGGGGAATGGCAGCGGTAGTGTAGGGTACACAAGCAATCAGATCAGTCTTATTTCGGCCCCACCAGAGTAGCTGGGGGGATTGGAGGACTCCTTCACCATGACCTGTTGGATGTTTGCGGCACTAGCAAGCTGATCTATTCCCTCCCAACCTGGGAGCCAGAGTGGGGAACTCCTCCACCTCCATCTGTGGGACACACGTGGCTCTAATAGACAGTTCTTGGCCTGTCCAGAGCACTAGACTCCTCCACCGCCTCCTGCAGGGTGCGCGTGGCTCTAGCAAGCAATTCTGGGCCCACCCAGCACAGGTGCCTGGAGCAAGGAACTCCTCTGCTGGCCCTCGTGGGGTGTGCGTGTTTCTAGAAGGCTGTTTGGGGTCTGCCTGGAACATAGGATTCCTCTGCCACTGCCCATAGGACACCCGTGGAGCACACGGCTCTAGCAAGCAGTTCTGGGCCCTCCCAGAGTGGGGGACTTGTCTGCAGCCACCTGCGGGGGTGTGCTAGGCTCTAGCAAGTACTTCTGTGGCTGCCCAGAGCAGGGGAACTCCACTCCAGCCACCCGCCACCCGTCGGAAGCTTGCAGCTCTAGCAACCAGTTCTGGACCTGCCCAGAGCCCTGGGGCGGGGTTCTTCTCTGCTGCCCGTGGGGTGCGCGGCTCTAGCAAGCAGTTCTAGGCCCTCCCGGAGTGGGGGACTCATCCGCCGCCACCAGCGGAGGTGCGCTAAGCTCTAGCAAGTACTTCTGTGGCTGCCCAGAGCAGGGGAACTCCACTCTGGCCACCCACTGCCCGCGGGAAGCTTGCAGCTCTAGCAGTCAGTTCTGGACTTGCCCAGACCCCTGGGGCAGGGTGCTTCTCTACCGCCAGTGGGGTGTGCAGCTCTAGCAAGGAGTTCTAGGCCCTCCCAGAGTGGGGGACTCATCTGCCGCCACTGGCAGGGGTGCGCTAAGCTCTAGCAAGTACTTCTGTGGCTGCCCGGAGCAGGGGAACTCCACTCCGACGACCTGCCTCCTGCGGGAAGCTTGCAACTCTAGCAATCAGTTCTGGACCTGCCCAGAGCCCTGGGGCGGGGTTCTTCTCTGC